TAGACAAGTCATCATCTCGAAAATAATCCACATTCTCTAAATTAGAACTATCTAATTTAAAACAGGTAAGTTCAATCCAAGCACGAGCTCACTTGGTCTTCATTCAACAACAAACCAAAAAATTCATTCCTTTACCCCAAGAAGCACATAATCAATTCCATCAAACATTGCTTATTAACACTGAACAGTTTCATCAGTGTCATAAATAAACATGACATAAATAATTCCAATAAACATACGATAATAGCAAGGTAGCCTTTTGCTTTTTCAACATGCAAATGAATGCAAGTTCTTATCCATGAATTTTTCCTTGTGGGTGTACACCCCACCATACCAATGGTCCAACCAATGGTTCTTTCTACTGCATGTGTAGTGGATCTAGATATCTTTCTTCACACTCCCAGTCCAACTGGGTTCTACCTAGCTTGGTAGCCACCATACCAATGGTCTAACCAATGGTTCTTCCTATCGCATAGTGGATTTAGATATCTCTCTTCATGCTCCCAATCCAACTGGGTTCTACCTAGCTCATATAAACAACATCTGTGCACTGTCATGCTTGTACTTTAGATATAACAAGACAATTTAATATTAAATCACAATAGAATAGCACAGTAGCTTGCATCAAATAAAACTTTCAAAAGTCATATCTACATGTCCAACATGTAATCTCAACTTTAATCCAGCACTGACTTATAGCCTAGTTATGGCTAAACAATTAAATTCAACTTGCATATTAACTGATCTATTGGGCACCTTTCCTGGTTAATAGATACTTAGAACTTCAAGCTTATTTCATGAACATAAGAAATCATATATGGCTCGGACACAATAGCTAACCATGAACTAACTCATAATTTCAATTGCATGTTAAGCATTCTACTTTATTAAGCCCATTTCTTGCATTAGCTTTAGCATGTGTTTGGTATTGTGATTAGGACTTTTTTCGTGTAGTTGTACAATGCTTTTAGATATTTATGTGTTTGGTAATTTTTTTTCAAACTATTTTTTCTAAAAGCTATTAAAGCCACAACATATCTATAGTAATTATATATATAAAGTTAGGAGTCTCATTTTGAGACTTTTTTTTCCTGTGAATTTAATGAAAAACACATAATATTCAATATAATTATAAAACTACCCATCAAAACTTAATTTCCTATAATTAATTTACATCATAATTTATAATATTTTA